CTTATGTTTCTTGCTGCTGTTATAAAGGGGCAGGGGTCCATCTGTAGGGAATTTTTAAAGCTTCATCCAATGCTTTGATTTCTTTCCATAGAAGCTAGTTCATGAAGTGACTGCTGTGATCCATTCCTGTCTTCGTCTGGGTGCTGTAGGAGAATTTGGGGATCATGTTGTTTCATTCATCAGATGGTCATGTGAGCATTTGGGAACTTTCCTCATTCATTTGATTTGTCTCTATAGGGGAGACCATGAGCTGCTGCCTGGCTTTCCCATCTCAACCCGGAAGTTTACCTCTGGAGCTCGGCTTTCAAAGACAGAGGCAGATGAAGGCCTGGTGGGAGGACACTGCAGGAGAAGGGACCTGTGTGCAAGATCTGAGATCTGACACTGGTCCCTTCCAGAGTCAGGAGAAATTCCCAGCAGAACTTTTCTGTTCAAAGCATCAGGGTTCAGCACGTGTTCAGCATACACTTTGTGGCAGGTGCTGTGATAGAATTTGACTCCCAGAATTCTCACTATGAACTTGCAGGAGGGGCTTCTCATCCAGGTTTCAGACAGCAGGAAACTGAGGCAGAGAGGTAGGAGTTGATCTGTCCCTACTTAGTCAAGAGGCAGAGTGTGGACTCAAACTCAAAACTCTTTGGTTCCAAAGTCTGTGCTCTTTACACTCTTTAGAGGGATTTTTAACTCTACAGCAATCAGCCCAGGACTTTTATTTGAACCACAGGAGCCATGATCCCTCAAGCCAGGGCTGAGTCTCTGCAGTTTCTCACTTGTGGATCTTGATCTCTGAGTACTCACTACCAGTGGCCTCCTGTTCCTGTGGGTCCCGAGGCTTCATGCCACAATAGCTGAAAGATGCATAATGGAGCTCTTCGTCCTCCCCTGAGCAGGGGGCAGCCACATCTGGGGGAGGGTGATCTGGGAAGCTTCCCTTCTGGGATTCAATCAGGGGACCCTGAGTGGAGGGAGAGAGAAGGGAGTCAGAGCAGAACAATAAGGACAGGATAAGACAGCAAGTGTCCAGGAGGGAAGCCCATGTATTCCTTCATCTATTTATCCCACATGCATTTTTCTTGACATGTCCTTTATTCATGCTTTCCTTGAATATTTAATCTTTAGAGAACACCTTATTGGGTGCTTGCTGTTCTCATGAACTTCCCACAACAACCCCATAAGGAAGATATTATCATTGTCTCCATTTTATACATATGAAAACTGCAATGATCAAGGTAAGCAGCATGCTCAAAGTCCCTGAGGAAGGGACCAGCCTGGTAGCATAGCAGTTAAATTCAGGCACTCTGCTTGGCACCCCTGGGTATGCAGGTTCAGATCCCCGGCACGGACCTATGCACCACTTAACAAGCCATGCTGTGGGTGGCGTCCCACATATAATGTAGAGGAAGATGGGCTCGGACGTTAGCCCAGGGCCAATCTTCCTCAGCAAAAAGAGGAGGACTGGCATCAGATGTTAGCTCAGGGCTGATCTTCCTCACTAGAAACAAAAGGGCCCTTGAGGAAATGGGGGTTCCATTCAGTTTCTTGTTGCCTTCAAGGCCGGGGGCCCCTTCTTTTTGGGGCCTTGGGTTGGTTGTTGGTTTTTTTTTGTTGGCCCTGGCGGCCCCGGCCCTTGCCTTTTTGCGGTTTCTTTTTTATTTGGGGGTTGCGTGAAATTTTGGGTTAGGCAATTAATTTTTTATTTTTGGTTTTTATTTTGTTGGCCGGGACTTGGTTAGTTGGGGGGGGTTTCCGGGGCTTTGTTGAGGGCTTGCCCCTTGCCTTTGGGAGGTTCCCGTTTTGTTGGGTGGCCAGGTAGTCAAAGAAATTTTTTCGCTGTGATAGGATGAATAACAGCCTCTAAATGTGTCCAAGCCCTAATCCCTAGGAAACTCTGAATGTGTTATCTTACATGGCAAAAATGACTTTGCAGATGGAATTAAATTACGGACATTGAGATGTGGAGATTCTCCTGAATTATTTGAGAGAGCCCCATATAATCACAAGGGCTTTGACAAGCAAAAGGAGAAGGCAGAGAGAGATTTGAAGACACTGTGCTTCTGGCCTTGAAGATGGAGGGAGGAGCCAAGAACCAAGGAAGGCAGGCGCCCTCTGGGGGCTGTAAAAGGTAAGAAAATGCATTTTCCCCCGGAGCTTCCAGAAGGAACTCAGCCCCGCCTGCCAATGCCTTCATTTTAGTCCAGTGAAACCCAGTTTGGACTTGTGACCTCCAGAACTGTAAGACAATAAATTGATGTTTTTGGAAGCCAATGAAGTTGTGGTGATTCATGACAGCAGCAACAAGAAAGTAACACAGACTCACATGGAGGAGAGTGACAGGAGCTGCCTGAGGAGAATCCTTCTTTGCTGCTCCTCTCGATAAGAGAACACTTCACCAAAATGGTTAATATTTTTGCCCCTCCCATTCTCTTCATTGTTCAAATTAAGATTCACACACACACACACACACACACACGCAAACCACTTACTGACACTGCTGTTATCAATCACACCGGTGACCTCTGCTGGTGAAATCAATATTTCAGTCCTCACCTCTCTGGACTTGGCAGCAGCAGGTGACCTGACTGCACACCTGCCCTAAAGGAAAGCCCCTTTAGACTTAATTACAAGACATCACACTTTCTGGATCCATTGACGTCGCTGGAAGCCCCCTGGCTGGATGTTCCCCATCTCCCTGCCCCTAAATATCAGAGCAACCCCGGACTCTTTCCTTCTTCAACTTTGTTTCGTGATCTCATCCACTACATTGGCTTCATCTCATCTAGTAGGCTGATGACTCCCAAATCTGTACCCCCAGCTCCTTCTCTCTGGAAAGACTTTAATCCAAAGGTATACTTGAAATGCCCATTCCCTGTCAAAACAAACAGAAAACTCAACATATTCACACTGAACTTCTCCTTTTCTCCCCCAAATCTCTTCCTCCAATCATCTCCACATCAGTGATTGGTGCCTCCATTTTTCCGGCTGCTTAGTGCAGAAATCTAGGAGTCATCCTTGACCCCTTTCTGTCACTCACACAGCACTCCCAATCCATTAACAATTGTCAGTAGCCTTAAGTTCAGAATTCACCCAGAATCCTATCAAGCCACACCCTCATGCCATCCTGGTTCCAGCCACCATCACCACCTGCCTGGAATGATTCACCAGTCCCTTTTCTAACTTCTCTGACACACAGAGTCTCTCTGTGCACAGCATCCAGAGGGATCCTGTGAAAATGAAAAGGGGATCAGGTTCCTCTTCTGCCTGAAAGTCTCCAGATGCCCACAGTGTCCTGTGTATGCAGATGTGATGTACACACACGCTGACTTCCCCAAACTCATTTCCTGCTTGTTGGCCTTGCCTCCCTCTGTGTAATCACTCGGACGTCCTTGCTGCTTCTCACTCACTGGTCAGCCTTGTGTGTCTGACTGTTTTCACCTTCTGTTCTCTTTGCCTGGTGGGCTCTTAGATCACACAGTCAAGTTGCAAACTCTTGATTCTCCTTCATGCCTTTGTACAAACATCACTAACAAAACCACAAGCCAACCTACAGAATGGGAGAGAATATCTGCAAATCATGTAACAGATAAGGGGTTAACATCCAGAATATATAAAGAACTCCCACAAATCAACAACAACCACAAAAATACACCCGTTAAAAAATGAGCACAGAACTTGAATTAGACATTTCCCCAAAGAATATATAGAAATGGCCAATAAGAATATGGAATGATGCTCAACATCACTAATCATTGGAGACGTGCAAGTCAAAAATACAATGAGATATCACCTCACACCCATTAGAATGACCACTATAGAAAAAAGAAAAAACATGTGTTGGTGAGGATACAGAGAAATTTGAACCCTTGTGCACTGTTGCTGGGAATGTAAAATGGTGCAGCCACTCTGGAAAACAGTACGGAGGTTTCTCAAAATATTAAAAATGGAATTGCCATATGATCCAGCAGTTCCACTAGGAGTATTTATCCAAATGAACCCAAAGCAGAACCTCCAAGAGACGTTTGCACACTCACGTTCCCTGCAGCATTATTCACAGTAGCCAAGAAGTGGAAGCAACTCAGATATCCAGTGACGGATGGATGGATAAAGAAAATGTGGTGTATACATAGATTGCGATATTATTCAATCTATTGGGATATTTAAAATGAAGGAAATCCTGTCACATGCTACAACATAGATGAACCTTGAGGACAGTATGCTAAGTGACATAAACCAGTCACAAAAAGACAAATACTGCATGATTCCATTAACATGGGGTGTCTAGAGTAGTCAAGCCCATGGAGACAGAAAGTAGAATGGCGTTTGCAGGGGCTGGGGTGGCAGGGGAAGTGGGTAGTCAACGGGTACAGAGTTTCAGTTTTGCAAGATGGAAATGTTCTAGAGATCTGTTTCACAACTGTGCACTTAAGAATCATTATGATGGTCAATTTGTTATGAAATTTTCACTACAAGAAATAAATAAATCCCAAGAGCGCTCCACATGCCATCTCCTCAACCCTCTCTATTCTCTGTACCCTGCATTTTCCCCAAAGCACACGTCTACCTTGCACATTCTATTCACTTATCTGTGGTTAGGTTTTTTTTTTTTTTACTAGTTTGATTATCACCCTCTGTCTAGAAAACAACTTCCTTGAGCCAAGGTTTTAGATATTTTTCATGATGAGTCTCTGCCACCTACACTCCTCGTCACTCAGTAGGTGCTCAATAACATTTCCTGGAGGAATTGGTGAATGAAAAGATGCATGTTACCCTGCTGTCAAAACCTTCCAAAAGCCCCCAGTCACACTCCAAATGCAATAAATAAGTGAAAAGTGTGACATGTCCAT